ACAGTGTCTGCAAAGCAACCAACATGAATTTGACACAACTCTGGGAGGCAGTGGAAGACAGGGGGGCCTGGCGTGCTCTGGTCCATGGGGTCATGAAGAGTCGGACACGACTAAACGAAACGAACGAACGAATGTTAGAAACACTTATTTGTTAAATTTGAGTTACACATTATGTGAATTGAACTCTGCAAATGCGGTCTGTTTCCCTTTGTGCCCTGTAACATCTGTTGTGGATGGTCCCCCATCTCTCTGGAACAGATTTAAGTTATGTGCAGTTGGGAAAGTGCTATCTCTTTTGTCAGTGGTTTCTGTTCCATTAGGTGGTAGAAAACATTGGATGCACCTTCTGGTTTCTCATATCATTTTGTGAATCGGAGTCTCTAACTGCAATTCTGGAATCCTGAAAAAGATAAAGTATATGCCATGATAAAAATGAAAGCAGTAATTTTAATTGAGCAGGCTAATATTTTACAAATTTGTGCACGGTTAAATAACTTGTAAGGAGTTAATGCATAAAACATAACAATATTAGGGCCTTTGAGTTTAGGAGGGTTATGTCTAGTAATTCAGTGTTGCAGGGGATATCTTTTGGTTGTGAAATCAAATGTATTTCTGCTATTCCTGCTACAGGGGACACCTCTACTATCATAAATAATTCCTTGATAGAACCATGGGCCCGCCTTTGCTATGGTCTTTGGTTGAAAATTGGGCTCAAATAGTTTTTGTCATAGCTTACAAAGTTCTGGTGCTGCCATCACAAACAATTAATGATTATTTTAATGGATTCTGGCTTTTTCAGGAGTATGAAATTGACAAAGCCCTAGGCATTAAAGGACCAGAAGATGTTGCAAAAATGGGAATTGCAGAATATAACAATAACTGCAGAGGAATTGTGATGAGATACTCACAAGAATGGAAAGTAAGTGAGTGTGTGTGTGTGTGTGTGTGTGTGTGTGTGTGTGTGTGTGTGTGTGTGTGTGTGTGTACACGTATATACACTGACATATATGCACATAAATTATTTCAGAATGCAGAACAATACCTTGCTATGTGAGCTTATGGGCTGTTTAACCCCCCCCCGCAACGTGCACATTAACCAAAGGCCTGTTTTGACTCTCAGAATTACAGTGGGGTCTCAACTTACGAACGACCCTACTTGTGAACAATTCAACTTACAAACCCGCCCTATAGGGGAAATAAGGACTTGACATACGAACTTCCCTCGAGTTATGAACAGGGAAAAAAAGTGCCCCCCACCCCGTAGAGGCTTCTGGAGGGGAAAAAAAGGTCAGAAACTTAAAAATAAATAAAAGAAAGTCACTTACCAGGCCTTGGTATCCCCCAAACAGCAGGAAAAAGAGCAGGAAACAGCTAAAAGCTCACACCAGAAAGGAGCCTGATAGCCATTTTGTGCTTTTCCCCTGCTCCTGCACCCTCCTCTCCCTGCCTATCAGCTGATCGGCTGGCTCTGAAGAGGCTTGGGGAGGCTTACTCAGTACCTAAAAAGTCTGCCTGTGTGCCTTTGTGCTGAAAAAATCAGCACAACATGCTTTAAAACATGATTTAAAATTGGCTTCGTTGAAAAAAAAAAGATTTCTAAAGTGCTTTGCAAACTGTTTCCTGCCTTCCCCCTTGTTTCCTGAACCTAAGGGAAAAAAAGAGAAAAAAAATATTCCCCTATAGTGGCAGAAGCCAGAATAGCAGCTTCCCATTAGTTTCTATGGATGGAAAAGAGCAGATACAGATTAAATGGTTTTCAATGTATTCCTATGGGAAATGCAGATTCGACTTACGAACTTTTCGACCTGAGAACCGCCTTCCAATATGGATTAAGTTCGTAAGTCGAGACCCCACTGTATGTCCATGATTCTTTGAATTCCAGCCCTTAAAAATCAGTATTGTTTATATCCATACTAAAAAGGGGCATATTTCAACATGGAGGGTCAAAGGATGGTATCCTGTATTTTTGGAAGGAAGGTAGTTCTGTGTGCTGTGTACTAGTTATGGGAGCTTTACACTGCTTCTCTCTGCATTAGCGGGCTAGCAGCATCAGCTTCTATACCAATTAGCTTGCTAGATAACACTCTGTTTTTCTAAACCCTGGGATCTACAGTGTCTGTAGACTGAACCTATGCTAAGGATCGTTCATCCGCCATATCCAATCATCCAGTATGATACAGGGGTCAACAGTTCCTAAGTTGGTTCTGGTTTTCAGCAGAGTATAGAAAAGTACATGCATTGAGCAGGGGGCTGGACTTGATGGACGTGTAGGCCCCTTCCAACTTCACTTTTCTATGATTCTATGAAAAATTACATTTTCAGATTTTAGCTCTTAAAAGTCCTTCAGCCAGCTGTTTGGTTTGCAGATAACGAGGACTTCTAGATTTAGACTTTGAAAGCAGACTATACTCACTAGTCTTTCAAGCCAGTGTTCTGGATTTTAAGGGTGGTGATGTTCTGAGGGGCTGGCTGCTTCTGTTACTTTGTGCCTTTTGGGATTCCCTGAGAGACATGAGGCTAATACCATTTTGCTTTGTGGTGGTAGTTTGTTTGGCTTTGCGTGGTCCTGTTGAAGTTGTAGGAAGAAGGGCAAAAGGCTGCAGCATAATGTGGCTCTGCAAATTATGTATAGGTTCTGCCCTCCATATATTTTGTTCATCCGAAACAGCTGATTTGTGAAGGACAGGATGCTTTTTGTTTTGTTGTATCAGTCCACATTCCCCTCTTACTGCAAATAAAAAGTGTTAATTAAGCTGTATTTTTAATTGTGTTTAATGCCTTTGTAGACCAGTGTTACAAGACTTGGACGGTGGATTGACTTTGATAATGATTATAAGACTCTATATCCAGAGTTCATGGAGACCGTGTGGTAAGTCCTTTGCTTTGCTGATTGTATGCTGTTTCTTGTAAGTGTGTCTCTGCTGTGAATTTGAGGGCCACTTTGAAATGCTTGTGGTTTCTACTTGTGATTACTATATATTGACTTTAGGATTAGACATAGCATGCCCCCAAATACCAGCTGCAGCGAGAAAGGGTGAATGTACTCATGACCTGTTTGTGAGTTTCCTGTCGGCATTCAATTGGGAAACAAGTTGCTGGACTAGGTAAACTTTTGGTCTCATCCCAAAAGGTTATTCCTATGCTTCTGTTACGAAAAAAAATGCCAATACAAGTATTTATTTTCATTTGGAATAATTGAAAGGTCATACAACATAGATGTTGTAGATTGTTACCTAGCAAATAAAAGCACAGGTGTCAGAATAAAATCGCTAGGAGACTGGTCTCTTTTAACCTAAAAGCTAGATGACGGTTTACTTAACATTTGGGGCAGAATTACTATTGATTCACATTTCCTCTTACATATCTTGGTGTTTCCCAGGTTCTTCTCTGAAGAACATAACCTTATATTTGAGACTACAACGTTTGTGCATATGTTCCTGCACTTCATAGTTGCATGCTAAATATACTTAACCCCTCCCCGACAGTGGAATTATAACTGATCAAAATACCTGGATTGTTCAGAAAGGCCTAGGAAAATAAGAGGATCTTTGTCAGGTGGCAGAGTGATATGAGGTGGTTACCTGGCATATTTCCTGGGAAGAGTATTGGTGTTTGGTAGCCATACAGGCCTTCCCAATTTTTGTCGGTCTATGTTTGGAAAGCAGGGGAGATTTCGATGCTTGGGCTTATCCCCTGATTTGATGCTTATCCTTCAGGAAAAGAGTTATCTTGTAGACATCAAAATAAGTAGCTCTACTTAGAATTATGTTTGGTATAGCTTTTGACAGCTCTCAAGGAACACTGACATTTTGTGTTCCTAGAAAGTGCTTTGAGCAACATAGCTGTATTCTGAACTAAACAAAGTTTCTGAAATCTTTTCAAAAGGAGCTTCTAATATACACTGCAGTAATTGTATCAGAATATTAACATCACATTGTGGATATTATGCGTGTGTGTTGTGGGTAAACACAGTTGGAGTGGTAATTACGTAATAATGTTTGGTTTCATGACGGCGTTTATGCTTTTCTCTTCAGCCAGAAAGACTACCAGATTATAAAAACAAGCCAGTCTGCACTCTTAGTCTTTTTTTATCTAAAAAGGCATGACAGAGGTGCTAAAAAGAGGTGAAATAGGGAAAAGGTGTTGGGAAGGAAGAAAGGAAAAGTCATGGACTGTTCTAATGTGGTTCCTATAATGGCCAGCTGTGAGGGAAATAGGATGCATGCAATTGAAATCAGGCCTGAGTGGGCCACTGAGAAATAGTCACAGTTATTGTACAGGTAACTATCATGCAGCTATCAAGTTGGTTCTTGGACATTTCTGATATATTCTGGTTTCCTCTTGCTTCTACCACTACTGATTAGGCCCAGGCAGCTTAGATAACTCCATCACATGCAGATCAGATGGTCTTTCGGACATGACAGTTGGTTCTGACAGCCTTTGTGAGAGTGAAGGAGAGGCCAGACCCATTTGGTGAAAGTAGCAGTGTGGGGCTCTGGCTGTTCTTTGCTGTTTCCTTGGTGTCCTCTCCCCCACACCCTAGTTGGAACTGGAGTATTCCTGAATTCAGAGTCCTGAATACCCTCCAAGAAAGCCCCTCTGAAGGCACCCGTTCAAATCAAGTTTTGCACTCTGCAGACATCAAAGGAACTGTTGGCAGGGATGTGCGAGAAGATGTGTGAGAGAACTTCTTATGGCCACGCTTGGGCTCTGAATTTCCTTGCCTTGAGGGAAGTCTACTTTGTATCCTCTTTGAAGCCTGTTTTATGAATCTGGTATTTGTCCTGATGGACATTTGATCTCTCTATGTGATCTTAAACTCACAGCGCCAGAGGGTTTGTTATGAATGTCTGCTGTCTCTTAGGCTCTTGATAGAGTTTAATTTTTGAAATAGCTATGATATTGATTCTTTTTGGAACATTGCCTTGGGCATATTTTTTTAATTTGAAGAGGTATTTTAATAATGCTGTGTATGCTTATTTATTTTTATTTTATTTATAGCATTTGTTTATCACATTTCTGCCAAATAGGCTTTCTAAAACATTTTAAGAACTAATTATTATTAAAAACCCATGGAAATGACCTAAAAACAGATTAGAATCTCATTTTAAAGCAGATTCAGACATTTTCAAAAAACTAATTTTGCACTATGTAGATCAGTGGTCCCCAACCTTGGGCCTCCAGATGTTCTTGCACTTCAATTCCCAGAAATCCTGACCAGCAGAGGTGGTGGTGAAAGCTTCTGGGAGTTGTAGTCCAAGAACATCTGGAGGCCCAAGGTTGGGGACCACTGATGTAGATGATAAACTAAATTGTGACTTCTGCGCTCCCACCAGCTTAGGTGCTGGGAATTCAGTGGTATGTGTTGTAATGTGGTTTTGTTATTCAATTGAATAGATGATGGTCTGTTATATTTCAGCAAGTGAATGAAGCAGCACAATTTTATGCTTGATCCATTTGTGAGGTGCAGAGATTCTGCTTATAAGGAGCCTTGAACAACAAAGTAGCATAGAAGTATGTCTCATGGAAAGAAAATTTCTTTTGCCATCTCTATGGTTGCTGGATATTGCAAGCAGAATTGATCAAATACATATTTTTATGGAAATCCTCCCTGGAAAGACCATTATCCTGGAGGTAGAACCAAGAGACAAATTTGATGACTGGCCTTAGTTGCTTTTATAAGTTGGGGTTTTAAATATTTCAGCTAGTCTAGTGTATTGAGCTCTTTGACTTATGGCAAAATCCTACTGCAACTGACCTTGAATTTCTTTCCTGCTGTGAACACAGTGTGAGCATTACATTTTTCCAAATATTCCATCTGCTCAGAGTTTTGTGTCAATTTACGGCTAGTAAGGGTGATCCTTGGTAAGCTTAGAAATATACCTTAAAGGAGAAAGTTTCTGAACTTTTCAGCATGCCTCCCTTTTTTGAAGAATCCTCACCCATCTTCTTTTTACCACTATCTGGCTACATTTTTATCTAGCTCTATTAACCACACATTTGGTTTGTAATATAAAATTAAACAGGAAAGCTCAGTAAATTTTATTAAACTTAAAATTGGCATAGTTTTTTCCACCAGAAAAAAAAGTTTAAGAATGAAATGTACTTGAAGAAATGTATACTTCACCTCTTGGTGGTCTTTCCTGCCTACTGCCATTCTCTCATGTGCTATTTTAACCTGCAGGAGATAACAACTACGGAAGGTCAAATAATAAAGTAGCTTTTTAAAAAAGTTTTTCTGAATGCCAAAAGTATTTTTATTCACGGAGCAAAGATATACAGTCGATGTTTAGGTAAAATTGTATTGTGATACTCTGCAGTGCCTCCAAATTGTTAAGTTCAGTTTTCTGATCTTTCAGGGTTTTTTCATTAGTTCAGTTCCTTTGTTTGCCTCAGTGGGTGCTCTATCCTCTCCTGCAAAGCATGACAAATTCTTTTCCTGAGCTTGGGTCAGGATGGGAAATATTCCTTCGTTGCAGAGTGTTTCATCCTCGGTCCGCTATATTTAGCGGAAGACTGGGGTTGCTTCATTTTGCAATATCATTCTGTCAAATTCATCTATCTACAGTAGCATTAGAATAAGTTATGTTTGCAAGTACAAGAAAAAGCATTTTAAAGTTGAAAAAAAAAATCACCTTCTAGGCCAAAAAGAAAAGAAAATGTATTAGTAACTTTTATGCAACTTACATACAAAAATCTCAAACGATTAGAGTAACATGGTTGCTTATGTACTCTGGAGGGCTGGGAAGCCTTTGAGGCATATTTTTGATGTCAGGGGAGAGATGGTCTTGATGCTAGACTACGATAGCGTTGGCTTTAGCTCCCAATGCCTGTTTCAACTTTAGCAGCATAGAAGTGGGCAAGTGTGTCACTGCAATACTGTGGGATACGTTGCATATAAATAGTTAATATTCTTTTTTTTAAACAAAAGGCAGATTTTCATTACATGTTTTTTCTTGTACTTCCAGACTTAATTTGCTCTAATGCTACTGCAAACATTTTTGAAGTGTAAAGCTGTAACAATAGTTGTAGGTGAATAATGTTCTTTGCACTTAGAGAAAGTTCCACAAGAGGGAGTCATTTACCTGAATTTGGCTTTGCAGTTTCATTCATTTCTTACTGCAGCCTGGTGGTTGGTGGTTGTTGTTTTTTTGCGACATCTGGATGTGGGTTTACCTATTTGAAGTGTTCTGATGATTTTTGTTTTGTGATGTATTTTAGAAAATAGATAGAACATATAATATCTTCATGCTTGATAAATTTGTATTATGGTTGTTGTGGGGTTTTCGGGCTCTTTGGCCATGTTCTGAAGGTTGTTTTTCCTAACGTTTCACCAGTCTCTGTGGCCGGCATCTACTGTCCTCTGAAGATGCCGGCCACAGAAACTGGCAAAAAGTTAGGAAAAACAACCTTCAGAACATGGCCAAAGAGCCCAAAAAACCCACAACAACCATTAGATCCTGGCCGTGAAAGCCTTCAACAACCTCCGATATGCAGATGATACCACTCTTATGGCAGAAAGTGAGGAGGAATTGAAGAACCTTGTAATGAGAGTGAAAGAGGAGAGTGCAAAAAATGGTCTGAAACTCAACATCAAAAAAACTAAGATCATGGCCACTGGTCCCATCACCTCCTGGGAAATAGAAGGGGAAGATATGGAGGCAGTGTCAAATTTTATCTTCCTGGGCTCCATGATTACTTCAGATGGAGACAGCAGCCCTGAAATTAAAAGGCGCCTTCTTCTTGGGAGGAAAGCGATGACAAATCTTGACAGCATCTTGAAAAGCAGAGACATCACCTTGCCAACAAAAGTCCGAATAGTCAAAGCTATGGTTTTTCCTGTTGTGATGTATGGAAGTGAGAGCTGGACCATAAAGAAAGCAGACCGCCGGAGAATTGATGCCTTTGAATTGTGGTGCTGGAGGAGGCTCTTGAGAATCCCCTGGCCTGCAAGGAGAACAAACCTATCAGTTCTAAAGGAAATCAACCCTGAATGCTCACTTGAAGGACAGATCCTGAAGCTGAGGCTCCAGTACTTTGGCCATCTCATGAGAAGAAAAGAGTCCTTGGAAAAAACCTTGATGTTAGGAAGGTGTGATGGCAAGAGGAGAAGGGGACGACCGAGGATGAGATGGCTGGACAGTGTCTGCGAAGCAACCAACATGAACCTGACACAACTCTGGGAGGCAGTAGAAGACAGGAGGGCCTGGCGTGCTCTGGTCCATGGGGTCACGAAGAGTCGGACACGACTAAACGACTAAACACACATTCTACTGGTTATGTATAGAAACTCAACTCTGTAAAAACACATGCGTTTGTGCCTCTGATACCATGGCAAGGATTGCACACCATTCTGTGCTCTTGCAGACTTACTTCTACATGTGTCTTTGCATTTAACATTCAGTATTTTAAAAACTATAATAAGCTGGTGATAAGGATTTCAGCAGCGTAAAAACACATGCGTTTGTGCCTCTGATACCATGGCAAGGATTGCACACCATTCTGTGCTCTTGCAGACTTACTTCTACATGTGTCTTTGCATTTAACATTCAGTATTTTAAAAACTATAATAAGCTGGTGATAAGGATTTCAGCAGCATGTGAGGGGGATTTTAAAAACTATAATAGCATCATCTTATGTTGGAAATAAGCTGGTGATAAGGATTTCAGCAGCATGTGAGGGGATGCAACCCGTTCCATTCTTGCTGTGGTCTTGAAGAAAATCCTCTCCACCATGGTCTCCTGCACTCACCTTGAAGACATTAAATGTAGTTCATATTTCTAAGATCTGCCATTTGTGCCAATACTTCATATTGTACTACCAGATAGTAGGGTGCCACCTTATTGAATTTGAGTGAGTTCAAGCTTAGGTTCTCTCCATCCTTCCTTTTCAACCCCAGAAAGTGGTGACAATACTTTAGGATGCATAAACTTTTTATTACCTGACAACAGGGAATCATGAACAATAACTTCAGTAGGACCAACAGGTCCATACAACATCTTCCATCTAGACTAATACTCTTTTAACTCTGGTGGAACAGAAGAATTCACCAGCAGGGGTTCACCTCCAAGTGCTCGCGATTGCTTGGTGTGGCATTTGCCCTTGTGGCCCCTGCTTGTCTTTCCCTCACAAAGGCTCACGTCGTGTTTTCTTCTCGCTGCCACCAGTGGATTACCTCACTCCACAATATAAATGACGTTTGTCAGAACACTTGTCTTGTGAACAGAACTTATTTATTGGAGTGAAGCAGATTGAATAATAGAAGTTCTTTGGATACACGTTATACATAAGCATTTCATCAACAGTTCTCTCAGTACATACTTCTTTTCTCTTGCTATATCATTATTACCTTCTCTACCTGTTTTCCTAACCAGCTTTATCTCTCTCAGTATCTGTTTCCTCTCTCTCTGACTAACCAGCCCTATCTGACACTTGTTTCTCCCGCCAAGCCTCCTGTAGCTGCTGACTCTGCCTCTCCAGCCCTCTCATAGGTTCATGCAAATCAGCTCATGAATATGAATAGCATGAGTGACATAGGTGGTCGCCACACTCGGTTTCCATGTTTGATTCTGCAGGCTGGGGCAAATGGTTCTGTTACTTTGTGCTTTTTGGGATTCAGGACATGAGTCACTTCAGCTGTATAGGTGCATGGCAAACTGGAGCTAGCTTTAATGAATAGTAAATAATTTGTCTTGAGCTTAGCTATGGTATTTTATTATTTTTCTTGGGATATCCAGTAATATCCTGTAAATTGCATCCTCCTACCTATTTAGGGAACTTTCAGTTGTCTGATGGGAAGTGTTTGGGGGAAGTCTTGTGCTAAATGATCACACAGCCCTATTGAAAGGTATTTGGATGATGTAGTAATTAAAGAGAGCTGACTTGACTTTTCATTACTTGTTAAAATTGTGTTCCAATAGAATTGTTCTGTGCTACATACTCCAGGCCTATTAGGACACAGCTTGCAGGAAAAAAAAATCTTAAATACAAAATGCCATTTTAAAGAAAGCATTTACTGTAAGCCCTTCAAGAAATGCTAGGCAGATCTTGTAAGCTGGCTTTCTGCATGTGGTTATTTAACTTGTCTTTGAATTACAACCTTCAGATTGTATAAAACTGCTATGTTCTGTTGGAATATTTGAACATGCATTTCTGCTTTATCATCAGGTGGGTTTTCAAGCAGCTGTATGATAAAGGACTTGTATATCGAGGAGTTAAAGTTATGCCTTTCTCAACTGCATGTAACACACCCCTTTCTAACTTTGAATCTCATCAGAATTATAAGGTATGTAAGGCCTTGTATATTAAATGCATTTGGGTAGCACTGTTCTATACTGTACTTCTGTTCTTTGCAAATGTTAAGTAGCTCTATGAGGCTGGAGTCGAAACTTATCAATATTCAGTATGTGTGTAGGAACACTGTTAGCATTAAAAGCTGGATTGAAAGTCAGTGATGACCTGAATATCTTGATTTCCCTGAAGTGTCTTGTGTATGTAGGCTTTCATGTCTCACTATAGAGAGCTAATGCAAATCCATCACTGGGGTATTCTGCATACAGGTAAATCAGCTGAACAGATAGTGAACCCCATCTCAGGTGATTTTCTCTTTCAGATTGTAGTCTGACTGCCATTCTTGCTGTTCTGACCTTAAGGCAGAATAGGAGCTAGTGTCAGACTTTTTTTGAAGGTGCCAGCCTATTTCTGAAACAAGCATTTTAGATATCTAGGCCCCTATATCAAATTCTTTAGCACATGGATTACCATTGACCCTCACTTGGATCCACACTGGGGGGGGTGAGTTTTGGATTTCCTGGACTACAGATTTTACAGGACTCCATTTTGGGAGTTCTACCTGACTTACACACACCTTACAGAGACATAAAAGTTGTATATCATGGAATATTAACGTTATTGCTAATACTTTATTATTCTTACTCACATACTTATCGCACTTGTGTCAGCACAGTGTGGGAAATAAGTGAAGGGCTCCAACACTGTGACCTTTGCCCTGTGCATTCTCTCCCCTTCAGATTGCTTAGTCTCCTTTCACTTGCATGTTGGAGTCTCGGTGACCAATCAATCAATTGTGGTCTCTGCAGACCACTGACAATATCCTGCTGAGCCACCATAAGTTAACCATTGTTCTGCAGCGGAGAGCTATAACTGCATCTAGCCTGTTTTGAAGCTGCTCATACAGACATGATTAGAGATGGGCACAAACGAAACTGAACTGGAAAAAACCACAAACTTGGGCTGGTTTGTGCAACCCTTTTTGCCAAAACAAAAGTACTGAACTTTTTTCTGCTTGGCACTTTGTTTTGCTTTGACAAAATGCTGCTCCCCCTGTCAACCTGCCTATCTGATTTTGCTGCCTCGTTGTCTCCTCTGCTGTTGTCATTGTCATCCTCCTGGCAGTGGCATAGACTTCAAGGAGCCCAGTGATGCCTTCTTTGGAGGCGCCTAATCCCCAGTGGATCACTATGATTGTGGTGGTGGGACTGTTGGAGAAGGTTGGCCCCCCTGGAGCATGAACTGAAAACAGAACTGATTTGGGGTCCAGTTTTCTGGTTGGGTTTTGGTGGTTCATGGTCAGGTATGAACCACAAACCATCATTTTCCAGATTCGTGTCAGTTTCTAGATAAGATTTCTCCTTTTAACTCTGTTTTGGATTAACTAAAGTTTCCAGAGAGTATTTCCTTACTAGCCACAACTAAGAGTAGACTCACAGAATCACTGAAACTTACATAAATGTTGACATAAAAGTTCCCTTTGAATCCTATTATATACCTATTTGTTGTTGTTTAGTTAAGTCATGACCAACTCTTCGTGACTCCATGAACCAGACCACGCCAGGCCCTCCTGTCTTCCACTGGCTCCCGGAGTTGGGTCAAATTCATGTTGGTACCCTCAGTGACACTGTCCAACCATCTCGTCCTCTGCCGTCCCATTCTCCTCTTGCCTTCACACTTTTCCAACATCAGGGTCGTTTCCAGGGAGTCTTCTCTTCTCTGAGATGGCCAAAGTATCAACTTCAGCTTCAGGATCTGTCCTTCCAGTGAGCACTCAGGGATGATTTCCTTCAAAGTGGATAGGTTTGTTCTGTTTGCAGTTCAGGGGACTCTCACGAGTCTCCTCCAGCACCACAATTCAAAAGCATCAATTCTTTGACAGTCAGCCTTCTTTATGGTCCAGCTCCCACTGGAAAAAAAACATAGCTTTGACTATGCAGACCTTTGTTGGCAAGGTGAAGTCTCTGCTTTATAAGATGCTGACTAGGATTGTCATTGCTTTCCTCCCAAGAAGCAGGCGTCTTTTAATTTCGTGGCTGCTGTCACCATCTGTAGTGATCATGGAGTCCAAGAAAGTAAAATCTGTCACTGCCTCCATATCTTCCCCTTTCATTTGCCAGGAGGTGATGGGACCAGTGGCCATGATCTTAGTTTTTGTGATGTTGAGCTTCAGACATCTATTAAGATTATAAATAACTGGAATGCCATCACCTCCACTGGCCTTGTTGTTAGCCATGCTTTCTAAAGCCCACTTGACTTCACTCTCCAGGATGTCTGGCTCAAGGTCAGCAAGCACACTATCTGTGTTCTCCAGGACATCCAGATCTTTCTGGTATAATTCCTATGTGTATTCTTGCCACCTCTTCTTCATGTCTTCTGCTTCTGTGAGGTCTCTCCCATTTTTGTCCTTTATCATGTCCATCTTTTTACAAAATGTTCCTTTGACTTCTCCAATTTTCTTGCATAGATGTCTGGTTTTTCTCTTTCTATTATTTTCCTCTCTTTTTTGCACTGCTGATTTAAGAAGCTCCTCTTGTCTCTCCTTGCTCTTTTCTTTGGGATGGTTTTTGTTGTTGCCTCCTGTACAATATTACGGGCCTCCATCCATAGTTCTTCAGGCACTCTGTCCACTAAATCTAGTTATATACGTATTACATAATGTATAATATTTGAGGGTAGCTGTTGGATTTAGGTCACTGTTGTTATGGAACAGTAGTATACAATTTGGTTCACAACGGTTGCCCAAGTGCTTTCTTGAGGATTTCCAAGCCTGAGCATTGATAGGGTTGGCAGCTGTTTTGTTTTGTCTCAGTTGTTTTCATTGCTGAATTATTTTTTTTAACGTTTTCGTTGTCTTAAAATATTTAAACTGTATTTTCTTTCAGTGTAGTTTTATGCATGTTGGCGCATTCTAAGGTCTGTTGATAAATATACATTTAGAACTACTTTAATAAAGGTGATATGTACGCTTTAAATAAGCTTTCAACAACAGGCATTTGTTACTAGAATCCTATACATGACAGGTTGAAATTTAGAATATTCCTTTTCAACTCTGGAAAGGGTTTAAATCAATATCTTATTTAAAGTTTTTTTAATGGTCTTTAATGCTGTAAAGGTCTTGAACCCAAGAAACAGGAGAGACTAAACAAATTAAATTTTAGGAATGACTTACATTTGTCTTTTCTACTGTAAACAGCACATTACAATGGGCTGGAGAGTAAGGGTTAGGAACCAATGTGTCTCTGATGCATTGTGCTGCACAAAATGTGCTTTTCAGCTGGCTGTTTTCTTGCAAAGAGCCCTGGAGTGTTTCAGTTGTCTGGACTGTATATGGCCTCAGACACAGACATTTGAAAATAGTCTGCAGCTCATTTTTTAAGAGAATGGAAAATAACATCAGAAGTTCTTGGGGTTTTTTAAAGAAGCTGCTTATGTTCTTTATGTGAACTCATAAAATATCCAAACAAGTTATTCAGCCATAAAAAAGAGTAATGTCCTTAAACCTCCTAGGGTCCTCTAAAATGCCTGTTAATCAAAACCCAATGTTCACAAATGGCCCTTATCATGTTCTCACACAAAGCTTGTTTTCATTAAAGTCAGTTTTCTTTAGAAGGCAAGGCAGAGCAAAAAATAGCTCACCAATGCTCTGTAAGTGTAAGGTTGTTCATCCTACAAAATGCCAATAAATGTTCAGTGAAATTTCCTAACTATATTTAGTACTTGAGGAAACTGTGAAAGTGGCTGGCAGTGTAGAACATTGTTCAGAGACTGAATAGAATAACAGTTACATAATAATGGCAAAAGCATGTTGGTATCTTTGCTGATGGCTGAGCTTTATGCTTGCTGAATAAATTGCCTCTGGAGCAGTCCTTAGCACTGCCTGAAATATCTGCAAACACTAATAGAATTACGAGAGTATGCAAATGGTAGAAGGAGGGAACTAGGAAGACGTGGTGGGATGACCAGGTGCCATCAAATAAACCAAGAGCTGATATTTGAAAAATGCAAATTTGTTAAGAAGTGCTCTTGTGCTGAGGCTTCAGAATGACTTTTTGTTGTCCATCCCAACTATTTAGTTTTCCAGTTTTGTATTCAAATGTTGTTGATCATTCCTAAACCACAGCTGTTTGTGAGGAAGATCTCCTGCTGAAGACATCTAGGGATCCCTTTTGTCTTTGAGAAGTTCTGAAATGCATAGAATTGAGGAGAACTCTTTAATGATTCCTGGTCGATGTTCTGCTGTTTCTGAAGGTTTCCTCAGAATGAAAGGAGCCTTTTGAAATCCTGATCTGGTTTTGAGGGAATAGGAAGCCAAACTGTATCAGTTGGTGACAGTATCTGAGTTATGCAGCATAAAGCTGAGCAATAGAATTCTAGCCAGTATCTCTTATTGGCTTTGGTATGTGCAGAGCACATAGTCCAGTTCAGAGTTCTTTAATTCAAACATAATGAGAAGCTGGTTGAAGCATACCAGTATTTCCGTTGTAAAATTTCACACGAATGTATATGTATACAGTACAGATTGGATAATTTATCCTGCTTTATAAACATGAAGCCATGTCTTAAATGGAACTTGCAAGTAAGTTGGATACTGAGTTTAGATAACTTTTAAGCATGATATTTGATGCATTACTTGCCTGGGGCAAGGAGAAAAAACGTACACTGTGGAAAATACATTGCAAAACACTGGCTGAAGGAAAGCCACATTGCTTCTGTGCACAGGAAACTCAGGAAGAAATTTGCAAAGTTGCAGTCTTATTTAACATCAGGATTATGGGGAAAATAGTATTTATTTAGTGTATTTCTTTATAATTAATTACAACAAAAATGCAATATTTCAATATATAGCATTAAAAAATACAAGTTATTTTCAACTAAAAGCCAAAGAAAACAATTATTTGCAAAAACTGTCTTAGAAACAGCCACAGATAAAGGCAACTAAATATTTTTTGGGGAGTGATTTCCATAGGATAGTGACAACCACTGAGAAGGTACGTGCATGGGTTCTTGTATTCCAGTATAGTGTGAATGACATATTTACTTACCAGGCTGTAGGAAGAGAATTTTGCTTCACTTATTAGGCACAAATCTAATATCAGTTTTCAAATTTCTGTAATACTTACATTCCTTATGCTTAATTGTGTAGTGCCTTCCGAACTTTCTCATTTTAGCTGAAAGCCATTAAATCAAGCCTCTAAAAACATTAAAATGTAGGTTCGTGCATGTATTGCTATTCCTTCAAATCACTTTAACCCAGACCATATTGGATTTCTAAAGTAAATACCAGTACATTGGCAATATGCTGACAGCTAGTGCAGTTGGTGCAGAACTGGTGTAACATGGGAGTTACATCTAAGTGTTTATAAAACGTTATGGTGCTTCACAGGCCAGACATCATGAGGCAGAGCAGAAATTTTTCAGCATCATTTCTTGAGATTGGTCAGCCAAAAAGCATCAGATGTTCTCTAATATCACTCTTTAAACTTGAGAAAGAGAAGAAATGACCTTGGGTTCCTGTGTGCCTAAGATGAAACCTTACTTACAGCAGCTCCTTTCAATGACTAATCTAGGTGAATTGTATGCTTTGCATTGAACTTGGTTGTTTAAATGCTAAATACTTTGGTAATCTGAATAGTTAATAAAGGAAGTTGTTGTGTTTGTTTAGTCATTAAGTTGTTTCCGACTCTTCGTGACCCTATGGACCAGAGCATGCCAGGCCCTCCTATCTTCCACTGCCTCCCAGAGTTTGGTCAAATTCATGTTGGTAGCTTCGATGACACTGTCCAACCATCTTGTCCTCTGTTGTCCCCTTCTCCTTTTGCCTTCACACTTGCCCAACGTCAGGGTCTTTTCCAGGGAGTCTTCTCTTCTCATTAGATGGCTAAAGTATTGGAGCCTCAGCTTCAGAATCTGTCCTTCCAGTGAGCACTCAGGGTTGATTTCCTTCAGAATGGAAATAAAGGAAGAACATGTATTAATTTAGTCTAATATTGGTGGGGGTAATGGTATTTAGAGACAGGTACCATTCCTGCGTTCGGAATATTGCTGTGGTAAGATCTGTGGAGTCATAATTTCAGAGAATACTACCAACGATAACATTATCTTCGCTTTTGTGACTTGCTCACTATTACGCACGTCTGTTGCATAAATCAAGTCTCATTTTCTTTTCATTTTATCTTCTATTTAAGGATGTTCAAGACCCTTCCGTCATTGTTACTTTCCCATTAGAAGAAGATGAAAGCATATCTTTGGTTGCTTGGACAACAACACCTTGGACTCTGCCGAGCAACCTGGCCCTCTGTGTTAACGCAGACTTGCAGTATGTGAAGGTGAAAGGCAAGTGCAAAAGATGACATGGTGTACAATTAATGCTGACTACTATTGGTGCAAATGGCATGTTTACTTAGAACTGGGTCCTGCTTGGTTGAGTAAGGTTTGATCCCAGGTGAGAGTTGATAGGATTATAACCACTGTAATCTTTTTGTAGCCAGTGTGGTGTAGTGGATAAAGTTGTGGACTAGGTCTCAAGAGATCTAGGTTTGAATTCCCACTTGGCCAGGTAAACCCCACGTGGAAAGAGTCACTCCTTAAATATCTCACTTGCCTTGAAAATCCTCCTAGGGTTGTTATAAGTTGCATGTGACTTGATGGCACATAGTACACAAAGTGTTTGTACCTTTCTGACTACTTGCATGTGCAGCTTTATTCCAAGATGGCATGAATCACAGATTCACTTGCTTGGTAGGAAGATGAGGAAGAGAAGTTTGCATCAGACAAACTAGGAAAGGACTAACTGCAAAGCTGATACAGCTTTTTGCACATTTGTTCTGTCATCTTCATTAAATAAAAAAGAATCTGAAAGTAACCGTGCTGTTGTCATAATAGATCTCAGAAAGGCAGGATAATGGAGAGTACAATGGTTACATAAAGTACTTTCCTTCAAACTCCTGTAGCTTTTGTTTAATTTATTATGATATATCTAATTGGTTTGGCCTCTGATTTACCTATCCGTGATGATTCAGGCTGTCTTCTAATGCTAAAAGGATAATGAAAAATATCCTTATAAGGGAATATCTGTCTCCCAGTGCATTGTCTGCTAAGCTTTGTGTTGCAGCCAGTGCTCCATCTACTCCCTCTAAAGACCTAATCTTTTCCATTCTGAGGCACAATCGTGGCTAATGGTAGGCAGCCACAAGGGTGATGTAACTTCTTCTCAAGCGCAGTTCACTTTTATTCCACGAAAACATCTGTGTAGAGGAAAATGCCCAACATGCACAGTCAACTATTGGTGTTTTATTTAGTTTACCTGGATCGTGTCCTGTCTTCTGTATTCATTGGCCAGACTATACACTGGAAAGCATAAACTAAGAATATATTACATGCCCTTGACTAAGTGCAGAGTGCATTGATTCCACAAATAAGTTATGGTGACATGTTTCCCCCCACTTGGAGCCCTCTAGTTGGATCACAATTCCCATATTTTTAAAGACATGGTCAGTTGTGAGGTAGGGTGATTCCAGATGCACATGAGTGGTGCTCTGTAGGAAAGAAGGGCTCTTACAAGCATTCTGCTGCCAAACTTCAGGATAGCTTAATGCTGGATACAGCAGATCTAGATATCAGTGCATCCAAAACAGTTTCCTATGTTCTTCACCGTGGCCTCTGTGAATGCACACAATAGGGTTTTGACAGCGCCTGCGCTGGTCCTCTCGGAATCTTCTAGAGCTTTTTGTAGAAAAGTAACAAAGTTTAGTGTTGCCCATATTCCTCATGCTCCACCCACCTCAGCCCTCAGTTACATTTTACCGCCTTTGGCTTTGGAACCTCTCGTGCCTAGAGCTCGCCTTTTCGATTATATTTTATTGATTACTCGGTTTTGACTTGGACTTTCCCTGATTATCCTTACTCTCTGTTGCCCTGGACCACGGACTGACTGACCATTCTTTGTAGTTGCATCTTGAACAAGGTTTTTTTTTTTATCATGGAGCAGTTTCCCGCCCTTTTTTCCATGGCCTTTTGTGGCTCCTTTGCCGCTTTCTCTAACCTGTGTTTTTTCAACCAATTCATTCTTCGCTTACCTGTACTAGTTTTTCCATTTGTGTTACCTTGAATGATCTGCTCTAATGATCTCTATGATTAATTTCTCTTTATGTGATCAAAGTATTCTAGTGTTGTGCATTTTGTTTTATGATTTCTTCATTCTCTTCATTCATTTACTTTAATAGTTCTTTGCTGACCACCTTCTTGATCCAGAGCGTTCTTAATATCTTTCCATAAATCAGTGGCCTGTACTTCTTGGCAGCTTGTGTTTCACTGATTAGCATGAACTTATCTCATTAACTTCATAGAGCAGAGGTGTCAAACTCAATTTCATCTTGGGCCGCGTCGGCATTATGGTTGCCCTCAAAGGGCCGGATATATCTGTAAGACTATATAAATGTATGTACTCTTTATCATATTAAATATAATCCTCCTCATTTGATTATTACTGGTTTTAGTAATAATGGAAGTAATAACTAGCTGTGAAAGTAAAAGTCTATAATCAAAGTCTAGAAATAATGGCAAGCAGATATTCAAGTGCACAACTATTGTACAATTAGCCTTAATCCTAACCATGACCCTCCACCTTTGGACAAGAGCCATATTCATGGTGGCAAATAACATCTCTGCAATGAGCCGAGGACCTGCAGTGGGTTCTTTACATTTATTATGTGCCTTGTTCTCCAGGGAGGGGGGGAAAGGTTTAGCTTGTTTCTCTGCACTGAACACCCTCAAAGAAGGGCCAGCAGCCATGGGGATGAGAAAGGGCCCTCCACTTGCCAAGAGGGGGGAAAGCAGGTATTAAAGCGACCCTGAAGGAATCAAAGCAGTCCTGCAGGGCTTTGAGCCCTGCTTCCCCCTCTTAACAAGTGGAGGTGAAAAGCAAGGAGCAAAGCGATCCTACAGGAGTTTGATCCCTGCATTCCCCCTCCACTTGCTAAGCCCCCTGTGGGAGTGAAGGGGGAAAGCAGAGATCAAAACCCCGCAGGATCGTTTTGATCCCTGCTTTCCCCCTCCTTTTGCTAAGCAGGGCTGAGCAAGTGGGCTTAGCAGGGATCAAAGCCCTGCAGGATCGCTTTCATTCCTGCTTTCCCCCTCCATTTGCTAAGCGAGCTGCCCGAAGAGAAAATCCCTCTCTGCCTTATGCTCCCGAATAACAGCTGATCCGTGGAGGCATAAACAGATAGGGAACAAAGGGACAAATATAAAAGGGTTATATTTGTTGCTTCATATTCGTTGGGGTCTGTGGACCCCAAGAATACGAAGCAACTGATATCTGACGAATCAGGGATATTTAACAAATATCCTGATTCATTTTTATATTCGTTCCCATGTCCAATCATGACTCTTATTTACCAACAACTCCATAAGCTTGCTGTGCTGGGTTTTGCCAACAACTTCCTTGTAGTCACAAAAAGACATGCTCTCCCTCCATTGAGTTATGACCATGTCCTTGGAGGAGCATCTATCAAGTTTGTTTCTCTTGACTGTTCTGTCTTGTTTAATCTTACTCCTCTTTCTTTTTGGTGGCTACCAAGAAATACTTGTTTAGCCAGGGTTGGTCCCTCTCTGTTAAGGGATTCCCCTAGTGCCATCTAAATGTCTGATCAATTCGGCCTGTGGAAGCAAGTGAGACGGACCACTTCATTATGAGTATCAACGTTCCTTTCTGTGTCTTGTTTTCCAGAAAAAAACACAGGGAGAATCTTCATTTTGATGGAAGCCAGACTGGCGTCCCTCTACAAATCTGACAATGAATATACAATACTTGACAGGCAAGTAAATTCCCATACACATGATAAATTCAGTAATTTAGACTAAAACAAATCTGTGGAAGGTAAATGAATGGAAGACTCATTTTTTAAAAGTCTGGTGGTTTAACACATAAGGTATTGAATTTAATGTTTCAGCTGTAGCAAGGGGTGGCTTGATTTTTTGCAGCTGTTGTTGAAACTGTTCAAATTGCTTTTGAAAACAGAGGAGGAATGTAGGAATCTTTCATTATGAATCTGTCGTGAATGATAGCATTCTGGATCTTGTTACTACCATTATAGTTTCTAACAAAAGACTCAGATGTCATTCATAAAAATGTTGGAACAAAACTCCCATTGGATCTTAAGAATTAGGATTGGAGTAATTTGCATTAGCTAGGCAGTCTGCCAGACAGAATTTGGGTAATCTACCTAATGACATAGGATTATAGGACTTTTTAAAGAAGTAAAACTATCACAAGCTTTCAAAAATACATTCCCAGTGCGTCTTGCCATCCATTTACCCTTCCTGCTGCAGTTTTCTCCAGCACCTACAAAACAAATTTGATTGATGATCCAGACATACTTTTCTTCATTACTGAAATGAAGCAAGAATTAATGCAAACAAGCAAACTACTCACCAGAGCCCTGGTGAAAGGTTGCTTGTTTGTATATTATGCACAAATTATTTAGGTTCCCCCCCCAGTTCTTTTTCATTTGTTCTATAAAACTAGTGTCAAATGTAATCTCTAGTTATACTCTACAAGTACTTTCCTCTTTTGTTCTAATTGAAATATTTGTAAATGTGCATCATGCAAGTGTTGGTTATTATGATCTCTCATTAAATTATATAATACAAATGAACAATGAAGTAGGTTTGGTGTGTTCTTGGGCTTTGAAGAGTTTTGATAGCTTTTAATTTACTGTTAATGATAGTTTGCTGCTGTTCTGTTGGGGAAGCAATGTTTACCAATGTTTTAATTAATTTATGTTTTATTGTGATTTTTACTATATTGTGTGCTGATCTGCATCATCTATCATAAAAGTAGTTTCTAAGTATTGGAGATACAAAAATGTGTTTAACTTAAGAAAATGCATTTCAGGTTTCCTGGTGTTACACTTAAAGGGAAGAAATATAAACCCTTGTTTGAATATTTTATGAAGGTAAGCAGCATGTGATGTTCAGACTTCCTATGTGACTTTTTTTTGTACAGTATTTCAATGTTTTGATTTTTTGTGATTTGCTACTAGTTCTTGCAGAAAGTTCAGAAGTACAAATATATTTACAAATCGGAAGTAAGGGGCTTGCAAAGGAAAAGTAAACAGATATCTTTGAGCAAAGAAGGGCTAATGCAGATGCATTTATTGAATGGACATGTCATTTTGTGATTGCAGTCTTAATTGTGATTGCAGTCTGGCCATCACAATTAAGGAAAATTCTTTGCGATTTTTGTTCCTGCCCATAAATCTCATGAGTTTTCTGTGCCATGAAGCAGAAAGAATGATGATATGCCAGGACTCCAGTGGATTCTTTTATTTCTGGGAATTGTTTGAGGAGGTAGCAGGTGGCTTTAGCTGATCTTTCCTGAGAGTGGAATAATGTAATTATTTAACTCTCAGTTTCATAAAAACATTCCTTAAGTCATGTAAGGCTACAATCATATACAGAGAGGATGTCCTGCTGTAGAGACTTAGCTAAGAGCACAAATGCATAGGATTGCACTGTAAAGTATATTTATGGATGCTTTATGTTTTTTTCCTTCCCTTTATAGAAAACATAGCACACAGTGGCTCTTGCTGTAACAGAAAAACTGTTGTTCAGAAGATATTTTTATGCCATCCAGTCTTAATTATGTTAATTTGATGTGCAGAACCAGGAAAATTGGGTTTTCAGGCTGGCTACTAAAAGACAGGGCTTTTAATGGTGGGTGATGTATTTAGAGACAGGTGTGATGTATTTTTTAAAGTCTTTTAATGATCTTTTAAACGGTTTGAGTCAATTGGTCCTTAAGATGGTAATTTGTGTAATTGGGTTTTAATATTATGATTTACTGTGGTTCTACTTTTATCTGTTCTTCAATTAGATTGGGAACTGCTTTGAGTCCCAGTTCTGGTAGAAATGCAGGCTATAAATGAAATAAGTGACTGAATTTCAGCATCAGTTCTATGGATGTGGAGAACCATATTGCATTGTTGTTGCAAAATGGCTGCCTTTGATCTGAATAGTTTCACAGCACAGGAATATATAAAACTGAATTGTCAAACTTCTCTGTCTTAGGGGGAAGGTGTTTTTGGTACCTGCTAATCTGCTTACTTACCATTTCTGATTCATGTTAATAGTTACAGTTTTAATGAATTCATCTGCATGTGTCATGATTTTAGTTTTGGCTTTCTATATTCTCTATGTGATTGTTTTGTACATATATTGTTTCTTCCAGTGCAAAGAAAATGGTGCTTTTACTGTAGTGACTGACAACTATGTGAAAGAAGAGGAAGGTACAGGGGTAGTACATCAGGCTCCTTATTTTGGTGCTGTAAGTTTCAAGCTGCTTATGCACTTACCTGTAGAACATGTCTCTTTTAGATCTTACTTTGACTCTTTTAATTGAGATTCAAAACCCTTTTCAGTTTAGTAATTTGTCAGGAGTATATTGCATAAACTCCATTATGACAAAGAAGGTGTTCTGGTATCTATCCATCCATTTCCTTTTTGTTGTAATATGTACAGCACAGGAACAGCATCACAGTTTATATTGCAATTTTTTTTTGTCCTACGCATCTTTTGTTAAAGGAAGGCAGCCCCCCTCTCCCTAATAGTGTGTTTGCTCGCCTTCAAAAAAACCAACCAACCAATGTTAAGTCCATAAAAAGCAATGTAAAAAAGGAAGAGATATGAAAGCTTGAAGCTTGTTTGTATACTGCTCTAGCTACAGTTCTCTGTTTACATCCAAAGTGCCATAGATGGCATTTTTGTGCTTCAGAAAAATAAGGATCTGAAAATGTGTGTGTAAAATGTGGAGATTTGTTAATTAATCAGGATTGCTTCATGCTTCATACATATATCTTGACCGATCACTCAGTAGTTGATTCACAGTGGCATCCAGACTCGATAGGGGAGCATGTGTTTCTTTTTGAACTCTGCAGAGATACAAACCTTCTTGTGTGATATTAGATCAATCACATAGGTGAGTCATCCACTCACACAGTTTCAACCATAGGCAGATGGAACTTGTGTGAAGCAGCAAGGGTGGCAAGGTGTATTTGAGCATTATCTTCATAGAAAGGAATGAATTCTTTCACTTCTTTTAAAGAAGCACAATGTTTCAGAGTGTGACTGAATAATTTGCTGGTGATGAAGCTTCAAAAGTACAGGAGGGTTTAGTTTGAATTTTGGACTATAGAATGCAGTACAGGAAATCAAAAGATAAGCCTTCAGGAGATTTCATATTGTTTCATGTCTCTGCTTTATAGGATGATTACAGAGTCTGCATGGATTTTAACATTATTCAAAAGGATTCTGTGCCAGTTTGTCCTGTTGATGCCTCGGGCTGTTTCATGGCAGAAGTGACAGATTTTGCTGGACAATATGTAAAGGTGGGTTGTCTTCAGGAAACTAGAGAAAGTCTGCTGAAGATAGTATTGAGAAACTGAAAAACTGAGTGTACTTTGTGCCACTTCCCACACACATATTACACACTTGTTCACAAGGCACTTTCAGCTTTGGAAAATTTACATTATCATTTTCACTCTTGGTTTTGCTCTCTCTTACTGTCTCTTCGCAGAAGTATGGCCAACTGGAAGTTTATTTTGTTGGTATGTAGTTTTAATGCCGTATTAGTTGGCACTGATAAGAACATGAAATTGATATCTAGTTTATAATTGTACTACTTACACATAGTTTATGGGGATGAGACTGTGGCTAATTAAGGTACCTGAAAAAAAGCAAAAGGAAAGTGTGCTGTTTATATACCACTCATAGTGCTAAAGGCAGTTTACAATTTAGTTATGAAGGCTATACACTGCCCCACTTTCAGCAAGCTAGGTACTTGTGGACTTTGGAAGGATGGAAGGCTAACTGAACCTTGAACTGGGAGCCTGATCCCGGCAGGACTGAAGTTAGGTCATGTGCACAGTCTTGACTGCAGTACTGCAGTTTAACCACTGCACCAGAGTGGTATGCCTGTGACAGAGTCATAATTGAAGGTAGTATTGAGCTAGCTTGTTAATCAGTATTTTTACAGGATGGCTTTTACATGGGGGCTTGTTTTCCTGCTTTCTCTTAACTTACTTTGAGTGCCTTTATTACGGAAAATGTTCAAGCTCCCATATTAATTGGTTGCCATTTTAATAATAGATTGGCAAATAATTCATATTGTATTCATGAAGGCTTTCACGGCCAGGATGTAATGGTTGTTGTGGGTTTTTTGGGCTCTTTGGCCACGTTCTGAAGGTTGTTCTTCCTGATGTTTCGCCAGTCTCTGTGGCTGGTGTCTTCAGAGGACAGCACAGAGGACAGAGAGTGCTGTCCTCTAAAGATGCCGGCCACAGAGACTGGCGAAACGTCAGGAAGAACAAACTTCAGAGCACAGCCAAAGAGCCCGAAAAACCCACAACAACCAGTTCATATTGTGTTTGCCAATCTAGATAGCCATAACTTTTAAGAATTTTAATTAATGCATTTCCTTTGCTTTTTTGAGTTAATCAATGGTTTTGTCAAAAAAAAAAATCACCATTTAACATTTCTTTTCAATTGCTCAAATAAATTCCATGTTGGAAAAAAGAGGAGATTGTGAATGGTCTGATGGAGGAAACTAGTCTTTTGGATGAGTGGATGAAATTCAGTCATCATTACAGCAATTGTGTATGTCAACCTAGATCATCCGATGCATGCATGTTCCATGACAGTGGTTAGCTCACTTTGGTGAATAGAAGGCATGTTGTAGGAGGGGGAAAATATGTTCTAATTTTCACTGATTTTACTGCCAACCCTTCTGCTATTATCCATGATAAATTAGAGTGTAAAAACATTTTGGGGTAGTTTTTCCTGAGGGTGGGAAGTGCAAATGACATGGGATGTATGATAGGATGGCCCTGTTCTGTGAGTTGAAGCCTGTGGACCCTAGCCTTGCTTCCTAATAGTATAGTCAGCTTCTTGAGGTCTCTTTTTCTGAGACTGGCTTCAGAGATTTCTGTGCCTTCTAATACTGTAGTAGCTTCACAAGTGACCTTGGCTATGTTTGAAGAAGTGGTTGGAATGTGGTGAAACCTCCCTTTTGTATTCCTTCAAGAATCTTAGATCACAGTAGTAAGATAGCCTGTTATAAGTTTACCTTGTTTACACAGTAATTTTTTTTAGTAATAGTAAATACTGTATTTATTGTTGCATATGTGTCACATGTGAAATACTTTGTTATTCTTAAGGCTACAACATAACCAACTATATAAACATGGAAATTGTTCATCTGAAATACTTTGTGTGGATTAAAACTGAATTAAGAACATTGCCTTGCTTTGCGTAGGATGCAGATAAGAACATTATCAAGGTCCTGAAAGAAAAAGGACGACTGGTCAATGTGAGCACTTTCAAGCACAACTATCCTTTTTGCTGGAGGTATGACAATTAACACAGTACACATTAAAAAAGAGCATTGTGATTGGTACTGTCATATTGGAAAATATGTTCTGTTATAATTACTTTTACAGTATTTATCGATCATCATCAGAACAGCATACACACACACACAACATCAATATTTAACAGATACTTAGGTTTTTGGTTAAAACTTGCATTGGTTATGTAATACCAGTAAATGTTTTTTTATAATTTTGATTGACTGTGCCTGGTATTTTTAATAACAATAATAGCACCAAGTAGTATTTGAACAAGAAAGTAAACAAGCAAGTAAGTATGGACTTGCTTGTTTTTAGAACAGAACTTGTCTTTGCTAGTTTCCCTTTGATCTGTTGTTCCAAAGGAAGCCTCCCACCTGAGGTGGTGCCATTATCATAGTCTCGCCACAGCTGATACCCAAGAGCAGTAGCTCTTCTCAGAGGTACACAAGCCATGGGTGACAGCTCACTAGGAGGTGAAGTCCTCCTCCTGCAACCATCTTAAATTATTTCCCCCAGAACAAGAATGATGAGGAACCTAGCCAGCTATCTTTGAGTGGGGTGGTATCACACAAACAGACACTGGTACAGCAAGGCAGCAAGGCAAGTCCAGCTTTCTCATTGCTCCTCAGGCTTTATTAGGTTCTGTCCCAGAACTATTTTATCAGCAGGCTCACTGTTGTGTATATTAAGTAGAACTTTTTAGGATCAACGTTGTCTTAGCACATACTGTTTGAAGAAAAGATGAAGCTTAATAGTGAAGCACATGCTTTGCCTCTGGTCCAACTGCCAACCTCTCTGGCTTCTACAGTCTAACTGCCTGCTGGATTGATATTTTGTCTCACCAGACCTAAGGCAGTTGTCAGTATGATGCTTACACTTTACTAAATCTAAACTGTATCATATATGTTTTTGTGTCATATGTATCTTCTATTTAAAATGAATGAAACATTGTTTACTGCCCATGTCATAATTACCACAGTTACTTTCTGTTAGTATTTCTAAAGTTAGTTCAGAGTTCAAAACAATGTAAGTTCCAGTGGGGAAGGATATAATGAAAAATGAAGAAAGTGAACTACTATGTATAGCTCAAACACTTAAATGTCATGTACCAATTTATTGTGCCTTTTGCGTTTTTTTGGAAAAGGCATGAAAACGCTTCCTGTAAAATCAAATATCTTTACAAAGTTTGAGCCCATATAAGTATAATCCTTTCTTTAATCCAATCTTGTTAAATTCTCTCTCTCCCAAATTCTCTTTCCCTCAAATTCTGTAATTAACCAGGACACGTTATTCCAATCCAAAAGCAGTTGGTTATAAATTAGAGAGAGTTAGAAACTGTGTGTGTGTGCAGATGCGTGCACATACAGATATAACTTAAAGTTTTAAAGATTTTTGTAGAGTGAAGTAACATGATTTATCATCCCCCCCATTCTTTTGGCAAAACTTATTACATATAGTAATATTACACATAGTTCTTTCAGTTGCACTGTGTAAGGGCGGTGCTATCAACTTTAGAAAGCCCTTTGTCTAGGGAAAAAACATTGGAGGCTGCAGGACAGGGAAGAAGTCTTTAATTTTCAAAAATCGCTGCTGGTGGTACCAATTTTCAGAAATTCAAGATTCACCTGTCTTGCAGCCCACAACAAATGTGATTGATTCTGTGGGAATCTGGGACCTTAAGAGAGGAACTGGGCATTTCTTATTTCTGAAAAATTGTTGATTTGGCTGATTGAATCATCTCTACTGCTGTCATGAATTCCTGTAGTTCATTATATTGCTAATGTTGCTTGGCCTTTCCCCTCACTTTCCAGTGTAGTTGTAATGGGCTTTTAAACTTAGATGGCTGATGTTGGAACTTTGTTTATATTGGGCCTCTTTGGCTTGATGCACCTTATTTGGACCCGACGCACACCATGGAAACACAGGTGGTGTTGGTAGTCCATACCGCCTTTTCCCACCTTTGGTGTATAGCCTGATTGCGGCCCTACCTTGACACGGGGGCGCTCACTACCTTGGTACATGCGCTTGTAATTTCAAGATTAGACCACTGCAATGCGCTCTATGTGGGGCTGCCTTTGAGGTTGATGCGGAAACTTCAAGTGGTGCAGAATGCAGTGGCCAGACTCCTTACTGGAGTGAGAAAGCACCAGTACATTTCTCCTATCCTGGCCAGGCTGCACTGGCTGCCCATTTGTTTCCGCATTGATTTCAAAGTTTTATTGCTTACCTATAAGGCCCTAAACGGTTTGGGACCTCGATACTTGGCGGAACACCTGCTCCCACCAAGATCTACCCAGATCACCTGCGCGAGCCAGGAGGTGAGGTTGAGGAGCCTGACGCCGAGGGAGGCCCAGAAGGAAAAGACACGAAACCGGGCCTTCTTGGCGGTGGCTCCTCGACTTTGGAACAACCTCCCTCCGGTGATTCGCAAGGCCCCTATGCTGGGTACATTTAAAACCCAACTAAAAACATGGATGTTTATTCAGGCCTTCCCTCCTGCCAGCAATTAACTCTTTTTCTTTGCTATCATTTATTATATTTTGCACTGTTTTAGTATTGATTATGTTATGGTTTTGTATTTTAATGAGTATATGTCTGTTGGTAGCTTCCCAGAGTGGTAGAATATACCAGATGGGCGGGATATAAAATGAATGAATGAATGAATGAATGAATGAATGAATATGAATGAATGTTGTGGGACTATTAAATACATGCCTACTTTTCTTTATACAATTTGTTATAGGTCAGACACTCCTCTGATATATAAAGCTGTGCCAAGCTGGTTTGTTCGTGTGGAGCACATGGTGGAGAAGCTGTTGGAAAACAATGCCCAATGTTATTGGTAATATTTCTTATTATTTCTTATTAATTGCAAATCAGTATGCTCAGCAGTTCTCCTGCTTTCATAATGAACTTAGTAGACTCCTTGCTGTAGATTCACTCTGATATTCTGAAATGTTTCTTTCCGTATGTATAGATTGATAGAAAATGGAAACTTTTGTGATTGGAAGAGAAAATTGAATTACTTTGCTTAGGAAATCAAGAGTAATTTCAGAAAGTATGGATGAAATCAGAGGGGTAGGGAGAATCATTCCCGCCTCCCAGAGTATCTTTAACAGTGAGAGCCCATTTCGATTAATTGATGGGTCTCATCCTACTTTACATACGATACACAGGAATCTAGAATGGTGAGTTTTAAAAACAGTCATAATGTAAAACTTTTGTAAAATTTTTACATTATGACTGCTTTTAAAGCCCTCCTTGTCTATTGATGCAGAATAAATGCAGCCATTCGTTCAGTAAACATGTAAGGGACTATTTCTTTTCATTTATTTTGAGGACAAATGCCAGAAATTTCCCCTGAATTACATTCCTTCCACTTGTATTCCTTCCATATTGTATCTTGTAATGGGAAATATGCTGATGATGGTAATACAGTTCTGCACAGACTCCACTCAGCTGCACCAACACTTTGCTCTGGAGTATGGCGCTCAGAATAGTCTTGTTTAGATATTTGCTAAAAGTGTGTAGGGTCAGAGTTATGCACTCAAGCTCAATGAGCTCTTTTACAGATCTTTTTGTGTTGGGCAGGGATCTGTAAAGATATCTAAGTTGGTTAGACTTAAATCACATGGAACCCTCTGTACCAGGGTCTGAAAAAACATATTTTAGCCCATGAAGACTTAAATAAATGTTTTGTCTTTTATATGTTGGCTTTTATTATTGTTTCTACTTTCGTGGTTTGAAAGTTTTTTGTTGCCAGTGCAGGTTATGAATTAAATGAAAATCTCTTGAGCTAAGGTCCTTGTTTACCCACAACTCTTAACAGATTCTTGAACTGGACCTTGTCAATAGCTTTCTCCCTAGCATGTCTATCCATTAGTCTACAAGTTAATAATTAATTACTGGCTGAAAATTCTGTTCATCCCTCAGAATTTGTAATAGTATCATATGAGGAGATGTTTTTTGGATCATGGAAACTTTGCATTGCAACTAGATGCTAAACTTGGATTCTCAGAGTATGTGAGACACCTTGGCCTACTCACTGCAAAACATTTACTGAAACAGAGATTTCCGACCACTGGGTTCAAACGGAGTTAGGCACCCTAAAACAGTCCCTTTATATATAAGAACATTCTGTCCTTTCCTTTGAACCTTCCATCTTATTTCACTGATGTAATGAGTTCTGAATATAGAAAAGCTTTTACTCGGGCATGTTTTGATATGTTACCACTAGCCAGTTTATTAGGCCACTATACACAAATTCCGTATCACGAGAGAGTTTGCTCTTGTGATAAAAATTCAGTGGAGAATTTGGCACATGTAGTTCTCTATTGTCCACTCTTAGACACCTATCGTGAAAGACTCCTTAACCCTATTTTACAAAAACAGTCTAGTAATTCTTAATAAGAAGTACTCAAGATTCTACTTTCCGACAGAGACAAACTTGTCGCTTTCCGAATGGCACACTTTATCTCTACATTGATAAAAATGAAATCTGTATCCCCCGCCTCTACCAATTAAGTCAATACTTAAGTAACTACATCTTTGGAGTTATTCCCCCCACAATAGGTGCTTGCTGCTGGCACTGGTTAATGTTTTCCATCTGGCTTTGTCCTTTCCTTAAATGTCAAAATTTTGTGCTGTAATAGAAATCAGCCTAATTCTAAATGGCTTTTAATATTGTAGTATATTTTATATTATATTGGTTATACTGTTTTATATTGTTTTATCCGATGTATGTTGCAATGGCCTGTGTGCCACACAATAAACTTATTTTGTTTGCTTGCTATGCAAAAATCTGTCCATGACTATGTCACACCAATCCTCCCCAAGTATGTGTAGGCAGAATAGTACAGTGGTGCCTTGCATAACGAGTGCACCGTTTAACGATGAATCCACATAGCGATCCATTTCTTGGGATCGCTAATGCAATCGCATTGCAATGTTTTAAGTGCCAACACATCGCATTGCGATGATTGGTAAGCGTTTCGCTTACTGATCTTCGCATTGCGATGTTTTTTTAAACAGCTGATCGGCGGTTCCAAAATGGCCGCCGGGTGCCTAAAATGGCTGCCCGCAGCGTTTTCACGCCCTGCCCCTCGCTTACCGAGGGCGCAAAAATGGCGGCCGGATGGGGAATCTTCGCTCAACTGTGAGTTTTCCCCCGATAGGAACGCATTAAACTGAGTTTAATGCGTTCCTATGGGGTTTTCCATTTCGTTTTACGATGTTTCCGGATAGCAACGATTAATCCGGAACGGATTAATTTCGCTATGTGGGGCACCACTGTACTTGTCTGGTTCCAGATCCTCCTCTGAATCTAAGCTGTCCACCACCTGGCTGCAGACTTTGCTGTTTATTATCTTTAGTGTATTATCTGCAAGAACATGTTAAGCAAATGCTAGTATTACTGAGGTTATAAAATATACGTTTCGCAGGTTATTTTGAATTTATTTTTAGAACACTATCTAATATTGACTATGGCATGACTATCACTTTGGAGTTGCCATCGTTAATATTTAGCTGATTTCTGCAGCAATCCCCAGTATCTTTATTTTTAAGCTCTTGCTCAAGTAAGACAGATGGCTTGAGTCACCAGTTAGTGCTTGAATAACATAGAATTTAACTAAGATATAACTGTAAGTTGAAAACTGGAGGGCAATCAAATGGTAGAAAGGTGAAAAGTCAACTTGCTATTGCAACATGAACAGATTGGATGACAGTATATTTTGTGTTCTCCTTCCCCCTCTTCCCCCCCATATCCCCCTCTACCTTTTGTACTCCTTACCTTATCCCTAGTTGTTAAAAATAAAAAAATAAATTAAAAAAAGTAAGACAGATGGAAAACCTAGACTTTGACAAATCTGTAAGATCAATATCTTACATGTTATACTCATCTTGAAAAAAGCTATTTGCCAGATTTTAACTGTTTGAAAAAAGTGAACATCACAAGATTGAAATATTTCATATGTATTCTGATGGTATGTATTCGTTAAAGATGCCTGAGACCTCTGCAGATTTGGCTACATTGAGTTCTGGGGTACCTTTGAATTTTTTGGTTGAGGCTCTTGTAGGATTGACAGTGTTCTAAATATAGGGATGCTAGTGGAAAAAATGCATGTCAGGCTGTAGCAAGCTTTGAAATGCGACATGGTGCTTGAGCTGTCTTTAGAATTATTGCAGAGTGCAAGGACTAGATGTCTCATAGGGATTGTCTCTGCTCCTTATGGGCATTTCTTCTGATGAACCAAATTAAACATGGTTTGACAAATTTTACAACCTAATTGAATTTCTAATTAGCTTTTAATGAGAGAACTAAATACTAAAATATTTTTGAACTGGTATATTTTAAGACCTAGCAGCCGTTTTCAAGGAATGAATAAACAAATGGAACTGGTAGTAATGGACTTTTTGTATCCTGTGAGTGTGCTTTTCTCATTGAGTTGTTTCCATACTTCTGTCTGAGAACTTGCTTTCTAAAATGAAGTGAGAACTGAGGATGAGAGAAGTGTAGTAAGCATGTATAAATGCCAACTATGTAATGGCTTCTATGCGAGGTAGTTTGGAGTCATGTATATGTAGTGGTGCAATAGCTACATTCATTTTGGGTTTTTGAAATGCAGGATTGAGTTCCTATGTATATGCCTAATTCATGCAGTACTCAATGCCCCCCATTTTAAAAAAAGGGAGTGCACAAATATCGTATATGCCCCCTGTTGTTCCGTTCTGCAGTCTTAATGTCCATGTGTGGCTGAGGGCCTGCCTGTGAGTGCACTGTCTTGGGTGTGCAGCATCTCTAATTATAAAACTTTGCTCCAGTCCAGGAAGGGGCATCACCAGCTAAATGTTCACAACCATAAAAAAGTGTGTGTGTGTGTGTTTTGGGGGGGCTACACAACACTCATATAGGATATGTGCACACTGGACAAAAACCAGAGATATTGATTCCAGTCAGTTATCTGCGGGAAAAGAGTGCAGTTGACTTCTGCTACCTCAAATAGCATTATCCCAGGATACATTTTAAAAGTATGTGGTATTTAAAATTGACTCCTATCTCAAACACCACTGGGTTGGGATTTTTTTTATTTCTCTATCCCTTCTATGTCCAGGAGCAATGATACTTGGATACCTAAAATTTGTCTGCAGCCAGTTGAAAAAGAGAAGTGGTAGGATTGATGTGCCAGCTAATAGCAACTGTGTTTGGGTTGGGAAGGAATACTATTGGATTTGGTGGCTTCCTGACTCCTGTCATGTAGTTCAGATTCTTTCTTTTTGTAAGCAGGATCATAACAAGATTGCAGAGCTAGATGGCAGTGCATACTGGAATAAGTGGTAGTGTGAATTCTTTTAATGCTTCAGTTGGGATATGAAAGCAGAGATGCCATTAATTTCCCATATCTGTCCCTGCAGAGCAGTGTAACTTACAAGATTTATACAGTGAATACAAATAACTTGTTTTTTCTAGATAATACTTTTTTCTTCAATTACTGCTGAAGAGTGTGCAATAATGGCAATTCTTTGGTGTGCGATAGTTCCTTACACTAAAAGTAGCAGGAGCACATTTTGTATGCTTTTGTTTGGATGCAAACACATAAAATTGCAGAAGGAAACTTGACAAGATGGTTAAACGTGTTTATTCTTGTTTTACTGTGCTGGAGACTTTTACCTGGAAACTTCATTATAGTGAGGAATTAGGGATGTACATTCAGATTAGAAATATTCAAATTGAAATATTCATTGAATAATGCTGTATTTGGATAGTTCCAAATATATCTGAATCAGAATTTGAAAGTTCAGAACATCTGTAAGAATAATTCTTAATATTCAGGATCCCATATA